TGGCATGAATTAATTTCTGAAGATCTATATATGCAGCAACCACCAAGAATGGAAAATCCGCATCCAACATATGTTTGTAAACTACAAAAAGCACTCTATGGATTAAAACGAGTACCACATGCTTGGTTTGATCGATTTAGTGATTTTCTTCTTAAATTTGGTATTTTTTTGTAGTCTAGCCGATCCTTCATTGTTTATTTATCACTCTAAATTTGGTTCATTATTTTTACTTCTTTATATAGATGACATATTGCTTACAGGATCTACTTCAGCACTTGTTGCAAATTTCATTCAGTTACTAAGCAGTGAGTTTGCAATGAAAGACTTGGGACCAATTCATCACTTTCTAGGCATGGAAATCACTGCAACACACAGTGGGCTTCATCTATCTTAGTCCCACTACGCTCTTACCATACTTGAACGTTCCAATATGGTAGATTGCAAACCTATGAGTACACCTCTTGAAGCTAAAACCAAAACTTCTTCTAATGAAACTCTCATGGAAGACCCAAGTTACTACCGAGGCCTTGTTGGAGCCTTACAACACCTTACATTCACTTGCCCATATATTTCATTTAGTGTTAATTATGTATCCCAATTCATGCATGCTCCCACGATGACACACTTAAAAACGGTTCGATGTATCCTACAATATATCAAAGGAACCATTGACATGGGATTACATTTTTCTTCACACACTACACTTGATCTTTTTGCTTTCTCAGATGCAAATTGGGCAAGGTGTCCTACTACAAGACGATCAACCATAGGCTACTGTACATTCCTAGGAGGGAACCTCATCTCGTGGTGCGCAAAAAACAACATACAATTTCACGATCAAGCACGGAAGTAGAGTACCATGCCATGGCTAACACAGCAACCGAACTCACTTGGATGACGTTCATTCTCAAAGACCTTCGCATTGCAACAAAGTCTCCTCCCATACTCTACTGTGACAATCTCAGTGCTCTTTATATGAAAGTAAACCATGTATTCCATGCCTGAAGCAAACACATTGAGTTGGATTGTCATTTTGTGCACGAACGAGTTGTATGTGGACTACTTATCACTCAACATATCTCCATTGATAACCAAGTTGCTTATCTCTTCACAAAACCAATGTCAAAAGCAGCCCTTCAATATTTTCGAACCAAACTTTGCCTCCAACCTCGGCAAAGTTTGAGGGAGGGTATTAGGAACATACCACATCTCGGCACACTCAACAACAGTGAGAGTCAATGAAGCAATAAGGAAGCACGGGATTCTTGAAAAAAAGGGGAAAGACTCTCCCAATATTGCCGAAATCAGTGGAGGTGATGATCCAGCAAATCCTAAAAATAAGGAAGAAACAGATCAACATGAAGATCTCTCAGTTTCGACTAATAAGGAAGATCCTAATATAAAGCTGTCAAGAAAATCAGAGATATATGCCAAATACAAATCTGAGGATCATATGTCAACGTAGCAGATTTTATGGGATTCTTTTTATTTTCAATATGGGAGATCATTGTATTGCTTAGTTTAAAAACTCTTCTTGTATAGCCTAATAGTTCACGTTGCCATTCATTGAAATAAGACATCATTTTTTCCAATTTAGCTTCTCTGTTATTTTTTCCTTTGTTTTATTTTTTTCTTCTGCATCTTCTGTCACTTCTGGCCTCAGTGTAGTGAGCACATATTCAACACAGAGTGTGATGAGAAGGAAATGAAATTATTGTCAATGCTGGAAATTATCCCCTTCGAACCTATCCAAGTTCACGATATTAACTGTGAATCTCATAGTTACGACATAGGAGGAGCCATTGCACTTACGTTAAACATTGTCTTAAGATTGTTGGTGGGGAATTCCTTGAAATAACTAGAGTTGAGCCCGAGCAATATTCCACGATAGATTCCAAGTTGCATGTTGGCTCTCTCCTTAAAACAACACTGAAAAGAATGCACAAGGGATCCAAATATGCCTCCAGAGTACAATGAAATCAATAATTTTTATCAACGTTTGTTCACCAAAATTATGTGAGTCTTTGTAATCCAATTTTTCAGTATTGAATGCTAAGCAATTTTTATATGACAAAGAAAGCAAGAAATCTTTGAACAAGAGGAAAATGGAGAAGAATATTTCATGATCTTCCTTAAGAAACAATCAATCTATTTATAGATTGTAATAACAACATTTTTCATAGTTTAATTTATTCACTTGAGTTACAACAATACAAATTCGAATTATACAACTGAATTCAAGGTAAAAAAAGGGGCCAAAAAGTGGTTAAAACCAAAATGTGCAAAATCACCTGTTCAGGGTTGAACAAGCCTGTTTGTTGCCAGTGGCTGCAGCAAGCATTGCTGCGGCGGTAGCTTGTTGCAGCCGGCCGCAGTTGCAGCATCGGCTGATCACACCACTTTGACTCTACCCTTGGAATCTTTGTTGTCTACTTTATTCATGACTCAAGTATAAAATTTGATACATCGGACAATATCTGAACAACATTTTAGAAAACCTCTCCAACAAAAAAGCACTTGTCGAGAAAGGAAGCAAGAGCCTGTAAAGTTGGTAGAGGCTCCATAGTTAAGGAAAAGATGGTTTCTTTATATTATTACTTCCATAAAATTAGTACTACAAATAATAATTTAAATTTCATGCTTTTAACCCTCAATTTTGTCCATGTGGATGTGTTACTTCTTATCACTGTGCATACAAAATCGTCTCTGATGATTATTAAGTGTAGTAATTGTGGATGAAGGCAAAAACATTGATGATATCAACGAGGGGTTTGATAATGTCTTTAAAAATTAGAAGCTTCTGCTACAAAGAAAAAACCATCATATTATACTAATCAATGAGCTATACCTATAGTCACGTTGTAAATTATGTTAAAGCTAAACGTCTTACCAAATTGGGCGAGTAAAAGAGGACCGACTAATGTTATTTTATTTATTAATTATTGATCTAAACAACTTCTAGTATTTTTGTTCGTTGGATGTAAGTTTTTTTTTTTTTAAATTATGAGTTCACTCACATTATTTTATGATATTATTTAATAAATTTTCAAGTTTTAGAAAGTGCATTTCGGTGTTCAAGATACTATTTTAGTACTGGCACTTGAGTCTCAGGACATCGGGTCGTCACAATTAAGGTCCATATAGTGTCTTCCACAGGAGCTAGTATGCCCATGTTTACGTGAAGAAGAAAAAAGCCAAATTAAGAAATAGAGAACTAAGAGAGGGAAGAGCTAAAAAGAGCAAGAATCAAAGCTACAAACTGCTCCATGGCAGAAAAACTAAGTGCTTATGACTGTAAACTTGAGAGAAACAAGAAAATCCACCCAGCCAACAGCTTTGGAACTCCCGAGGTATTGATCACTAAATATAGTAAGACGAAGAACTTTTTTTCATTGGAATGCTGGAGTTCATCATCATTGAAGTCCGAGATGCAGGTCCCAGCTGATTTCAATGTCAACTTGTGCGGCTGAAAAACAGTGTTTCCTAGTCTTATATTCTCCAAGCCAAGAGCATGTGCGGTAAAAAACACTGTTCCCTAGTCTTATATTCTCCAAGCCTAGAGCACGTCTCCTCCCCTCCCCGAAAGAAACCCAGATGGAGGAAGTATTTCAACAAAATTTATCATGATTCCTTGTCTAGCATACCAAACATGACACCAAAGGCATGCATTCAGATACGAGCCAAAGGCATAAAATGCACAAGCTAATCAAAGCGCAAGCACAACTGGAGTTAGTGAAATTTCCACATTGACGTTTGCCTTTCTACTTCAATGTCGTCCCTCAGACGGCTTAAACTTCTTGTCTCCAGTAATTGTCAATAGTCACACAAACAACAAAAATTACTAATAGACACAGAATAGAAACAGAATAACAATGTTAAAATTATCATGCCTCAGATCTGACCATTGAATATGAGTCAGGAAATTAACCTACAAAAGTAACCAAATCTCTAGATATCTTCATCTGCAAAACTAATCATTTACGAGGTTTGAAAAGCAATACAAAATTGTCAGCTCCCTTTGAGGGATCGAATTACAGAAACTTTATAACAGAGAATTTTCATTCGACAAGATCGATGATGGGGGATGGGGAACGGGAGCCTGAACTAGCCCTAAAGTTAGATAAAGAGCTATTCATAAGTTCATAACCAGCACTAACAGTTGATTTTCAATTGCATACCTTTGTAGTTAATAACCTCTGTATCTACACAAACGGAAAAAAGACTGGACTGTTGGGAGGAGTTCACAAATTAGCTCACAAGATCAACCAAAATATATGTGCTAAAAGAAACCAAAATGAATTGTAAAAGATTAACACAATAAACTCATAATAATATGTATCTTTATTATCAAAGCAGACAGGCCAAGAATATGTCAACTAGTGCTTAAATCATTGAAGAACAACCACCGTTCATGTACAAATCAAACCCCAAAGTAAGATTACAAAAGGATAGACACTCAGACTTGACACTAGAGTCACGAACACCTTTCCTTCGACTAAACGGTTCACACAAGAACAAACAACAACTCAACTCAATCAATAATCACACAAGATTACTCAGATTTGAGAGAGTAACTAGAAATCAAAAGAGTATTTTTTATTTCAACAGAGAAGAAGGAGAAGACTCTAGAAACGGCGCAGAAACGAGAGAATGAAATATCTCAAAAATCAAAAGTGTACATTGATCCAACCCTAGAAGCCCTTAAATGAGTCTCTCAATAGTCACCAATCCAACGACTAAGGAGGCGACACATGGCAACATCCTAGCGTCCAAAATCAGGTAAGTTGTTACACGGTTTTAAGCATTTCAGAAACACGTTTCTTGCACCAAGTAATAAATCAAATTATTCAGCTAACTGGGCCTCCAACATTTCAGCCCATTGGGTCACTTGCATCATTGTGCCGCAAATTCCCTTCACTAGACTAGTAAGCTTCTCTCTGCAACTGATAAAGGTGACCATAATACAGCATTCCAGGTGCCTGAAATGGGGCAAGAGGAAGCTAACTAGGAGTTGCATGTGGTTGTTGAGGTACTGGTCCTGTTTGCTGCTGAGATAATGTCGATGGCTGATGGCCCATCATCAGTGTTGCTGTTGAGTCATCTGCGGCGGTTTCTGGAGGTGGCCGCGGCGGCAGGGGTGGAAGACTACCATAATCATACAATTCCACAATTCGACCTGGTGGCTGCAAATACTGCTGAGAGGATGTCTTAGGAAGTGAATGGTACAGAGAATAAGAGTTGGAAACATGACCTTCGATTGATGGCTGTCGCACCACATGGGATTGGTATTGGATGTTTTGAGGAGGATTAGGTTGTTGTGTCGGCATGAAAATGGTCTGATCAGAAACGGGTTTCGACATTGGAGTACTGAAAACTGACGTGAAAGAAGTTGAGGATGTTGAAGACTTCACAAGCCCAGCATTTTTGGCTTCTTCAGTGATGAGTGTTGTATACTCATGATATTTATGTCACTTAATTCGTTATTTTGTCATCCTTGAGAGAGTTTTAGAGTGTTTTTATGTGTGTTTTGATGTTGTGATGTAGGTTGATGAGATTGAAGAAAATAAACAAAAGTTGGAAAGGAAATGGCTAAATTGTAAGAGATCTAAAGTTCGGGGACTAAAGTACAAATA